TCACCTTACCCCTATGACCGTGGCAAATGTGGACGCACTTCTGCAATCATCCAACAAGACATCTTGATGTGTCCTCGCTTTCATCCGGAGCCAAGGAAGGAGGGCTATATATACATAATACATCGATACACATACACATACACATATACATATATATATATATATATAGAAAGAGAGGGACAAGGAGAGAGAGAGAGAGAGAGAGAGAGAGAGAGAAAGAAATCGCGAGAGAGAGAGAGAGAAAGAGAGAGAGAGAGAGAAGCAGCGGGGATAGAAACCCAATCGAACCTACACATCAGGATCAGAGCCTGCGAAAAACAGGGCCCGCCTCATACGTGGCCGAAGAGAACGGGTTGTCGACCCCGCGGCTTTCTCCAAGACCAGCTGTCCATCCTAAGGCGTCGATTGACGTGACGCGGCGGCGCCCCCAGACTCACAATGTCAATGTTCGCGCCGAAACTGGCGACAGCAACCTTTTTTCAGACCCCGCGGGAAACGCTGTGCGCGCGTCGCTGAACATTGAAATTGGGGGGGCGAGGGGTTCGATAAAAACTGGCGCTTGACTTCGCGAAGGGTTGAAGGGTCCCTCCCGTAGAGGCCTCCTTGATGGGGTCGTAGTAGATGGGGTCGGAGGATCGCACCGTATCGTCGATGCATCGCCGATGCGGCGCGATTCTCCGACCCCATCTACTCGGACCGCATCGGGGTAGCCAAACCTGCTCACACTCGGTCCCTGGACTCCTCCTGGGATCCATCTGATGCAGTTTTTCCACTGTGGATCCGTTTTTGACGGTCCTGGGGCCCGAAAACGGCCCCCAGAGGCCGAAAAGGGCAAACAACCTTCTCGAACCCAGAACCTCGAACGTGCTCACCCTTCTCGAACGCCTCGAGGCTCTGCCAGCCTCTGACCCCATCTGGGAGGCGATCCTGGGCCCCCCAGAGGGCCCACAAATCGAGGATCTGCTCATCCAGTTCAATCCAAACCTGGGTCAGTCAGGCCTTGCAGGATCCTGCAGGATCCTGCACCCAAACCTGGGTCAATGCGACCCTGGCCCTGCAGCATCCTGCAAGATCTTGCAGGATCCTGCACCCAAGCCCAGGTCAATGCGACCCTGGCTCTGCAGGATCCTGCAAGATCTGGCGCCCTGGCTGACCCCGTTTGCATTGAGCCCCGTCTCGAGGCCCCCCAGAGGGCCCGCAAACAGCGAGAAACTCTACGGGACCTCGGCGGGGAGCGGGGACGATCACAGCGCACCGGCACGCGCCAGGCGGGGCCCGCCGAGCGCTTGCTGTTGCCAGCGCAGGGGGGAGGGAGCAGGAGGAGCAGCCGCGGAGTGGAGGGGGGAAGATGAGCTCCTTCTCCTCCTCCTCCTCCTCCTCCTCGTGCTCCACCTCCTCGTAGTGCTCTTTCCTCTTCCTCCTCCTCCTCCTCCTCGTGCTCCTCCTCCTCCTCCTCGTCCTCCTCTTCCTTCTCCTCCTTATCCACCTCCTCCTTCTCCACCCGCTCCTCTTCCGTCTTCTCCTCTCGCGAGTGCTCCCCGTACTATCAGGCAGCTGGCAGCGTCTGGCGATCTGGCACAACGAAGACTTTCGATTGGGTCTACAAGCGGGGGGGCGGCCTGACTAACACAACGTCTCACATGGCTCATGGGGAGGGGAGTGGAGGGAAAGGGTGACAGGACAAGCTAGGTGCGCAAGCGTTTTATCTGACGTCCTACCCCTCCCTCCCATCCCTTGCCATGGCGTAAATCTCCTCTCTATTCGCACAGTCGGATGTCGAGCAAGGCAATGATCTCGAGAGGATACGAGATGCATGATAGTGCACGGCGTACCACGGCGTAGAAGAGCACGGCAGAGCGTCGTCGGGTTGAGAACACGACTCCTGTTCGACAACAGGTTCTGACGGAAGCCAGACATGACGCAGGACGGGAACTGTAAATGGACGGTGTGGAAACACTGGAAGCATAAAATGAGAGCCAGCGCTGGTTGAGAACACGATTCACTTAGACAACAAGTTCGGAGGGAAACCATACATGATGCAAGACGAAAAATGTAAAATAACGGTTCGGAAAGAGAGAGGCTGTGGCGGGAGCACGATTTGAAGATCCGCAACACAGAAGTGAGGTCAGCGCTGCAGCGGGAGTATGATTTGGAAGGATCGAGGGCCAGAACATGGAGCCAACGCTGTCGCGGGAGCGCCATTCTGGAAACACCGACGACGTTCGGAGCGGAAGCAAGCGCATACAATCGGCCACTTTGGGAGGATCCGGAAAAAAAACGAAACGCGGAGGGGGGCAGGCTACCGCTTCGGGGTCTTCGGGGGAGAGAGGAAAGTAGTTTTCTTATTGTGTAATTGTGGGGGGAAGGGGGGGTCTCCTGTCAATCCTTCTCTCCCTCTTGTGCTCCCTCCCTCCTTTCCTGCTCACCTCCTCACATCCTCCCTGAACAACCTCTTACGTATCCTCCTCATTCTCCTCCCGTCCCCCTCCCCCTCGTCGTCTTCATCGGCATCATCCTCGCCTCCGCCTCCTCCTGCTCGTCCTCATCCAGGAGGGGATCGCCAGATCTCCTCTGCACCACTGCATCAGGCAAGTGACACCAGGTCTGCGAATTAGTGACATGCAGGAGACGCAAGACATTGCGGACGAAGCGGAGCACGTCACGCGGGAACGATGGCAGCTGCCGAGATCCTGCGGCCGCGGACAATACATTTTCCCATTTCCCCCGCCCCTCCCCCGATGCCTTCTTCTGCTGACTCTTCCCTTCCCCCTACCTCCCCCCCTCCTCCTCTGGCTCAAAGCCAGGCAACGCCCACCACTCAAGGGTCAAGCCAGACCTGGAAGAGCAGTTCGGCCCAAAGACTCGTCGCTTACAACCCTGGCAACTCCCCTGGCAACTCCCCAGATGGGATGTGGGCATTGCCTCGTTGCACGCACGTGCAAGATCTTCACGGTCTGAGCGTGCTCCGCCGCCCGCGGCTTCCTCCGCCCTCCGCGCCTCTTCCTTCTCCTGTTGTGCCCATTTGGGCTCCGACGCGTCCCTCGGCTATCCCGACCGTGTCTTGGACCCAGATCGCCGCTGACGACAAAAAAGTGTGGGCATCGCCTTCCTTCCGGCACGCGAGCACACGCTCCCGACCCGCCCGGCCCTCTGCTTGGCGCGGGCCCGGCCCACGGCTCTATGACGTTCGACTGGAAGGCGGTGCCGCCATACCTGCCGAGCCGCTGATAAGAGGAGGAGGAGGAGGAGGAGGAGGAGGAGGAGGAGGAGGAGGAGGAGGAGGAGGAGGAGGAGGAGGAGGAGGAGGAGGAGGAGGGACGACATCCTGCACCGCCCGCGCGACCGGCGTGCCGGCGTGGACGTCAACGCGTCCCCCTGCCCCCGCTTCAATGTTGGTAGGCACCGCCGTCGGGGTGCAAGATTTCGGCCAGTCGACAGACCGACACGTCGGGTCGCAGACCGCGAATATCAAATCTGGGGCGCGGGGCTGGTTTTCACAAAAACCATCATGAAAGGTACAGGATTTTGTCCATCAATCGTTCGACAACCGTTCGACAAGAGTGATCCAATGTGGATCCACGGGGGCAGGAGAATGGACTCACGAGGGGCTCAAGCCTGAACTCCCCAGGGGACACCTTTTCTGGAAGTGCCCGTTGAAACAATGGTCCGACTCGCCATCTCCGATGTCAGAGGTTTGACAAGGCTTCAAAAAAAGCATGAATATCACAAAACAACGATACGGATTGAAATTATGAGGCAATATTTTGGATGGTCGAGCTGCATCTAAAAGCAGGACAGATATTCACTCCTGGGAGACTACGCGACATCGTGCACACATTTTGCTGCCACAGCCCATCGCACGATCCGGTGGAAGGAAAACAACGGTATGGTGGCCGACGCATGTAAACATATGAACAACTCTTTTTCACGCACGTGCTCTTTCAAAATGCACAGTGGCTGTCTAGATGGCCAAACTTTCCCACCACATACTTCACTGGACGATTTGTTATCTAATGGCTACGCCATCATGACATAATGTCTCCAAGACACTCCATCCCTCGGGCATTGGACACGTCCCATAAACCTTTTAAACAGCCACATCCCAATCTAGGCAATAATAATGAACGGAATAACAATTGGGGGGGTGGTCGTCGGCAAGCGCTATGTACGGAGGCGCGTGCTCCTGGAACGCTCCACGCTAATTCTCGGACGTCAGTTTGGTGCCGCTGGTCCACAATGGCAGCTGAGAAGCGTTTCGTGCTGCAGGTCCACAGCGGGACTCAACCTGGGAATATGTTGAGACCAGCATCCCATTAGATGCTGGACGTATGCACGCCTTGGAGCCGTTTGCCCCTGATTATCTTTAGATGTGCCAGCTTGCTTTACTAACTTTCAATGTTCCTGGTCTGGCATGCTGAACAATGCCCCCCCTAAACGACCCGCGACCAGGAAAAAACAAACAACTGCTAGACCCCGAAAGCTACCAACCTCCAGCAAATCTACGAGCAAAGGGCCTGCTGCCCTCCCAGGAACCTCGCGGCGTGCAAGCCATGGCAAATACCTCACTCGAAACGCCACAAGTCCTCACTGCAATATGGTTGTACGGGCACCGGTGAACATTCCGAATGTTACGACGTCAACATCGGAAACGGTTCGAGCACGACGCATGAGGCTGGCTTAATAAGAGCCACGGATGCCTCCCGACACGAGTATGAATCACGAAGGCCCCGAAGAACCAAAGAGCTGCATCATGACATGCTAACACAATCACTGCTTCTGGTGTGCGAGTAAGAATATATCGCGGGACGGGTCCCGACGAGCCCAGATTCTCGGTCATTTGGTCAGTCCTGAGTTATGACTCGCGAAGACACGCACCTTGCGCCATGGCCATCACCAAAAATCGCTGAGACCCAGGACCACCAGAACATACTTGAGATCCTTGTCCACTTGCAACGGTATCTTTCTACGGCGACCAGAAAGCATGGGACGCAGACAAGCAC